TTCCTAGGAATTCCTACCGATTCCGTCTTGGACACAATTCCGGAATTCCATGATGGAATCAGACCATCTCCCCTCACCCTCACTTGTTGTCTTGTGTTGCAAAGTTATACCCTTCGAAACACGACCGAATTCCGTTACGGAATTCCGGAATTGCATCGCACACGGAATCGATAGGAATTCCCCGGAATTCCGTGGAATTCCTACCAATTCCGGAATTCCATGAAATACGGAATCGGTGGGAATTGGACGGAATTCCTAGGAATTCCTACCAATTCCGGAATCGGTGGGAATTAGACGGAATTCCCGGGAATTCCTAGGAATTCCTACCGATTCCGTCTTGGACACAATTCCGGAATTCCATGATGGAATCGGACCATCTCCCCTCACCCTCACTTGTTGTCTTGTGTTGCAAAGTTATACCCTTCGAAACACGACCGAATTCCGTTACGGAATTCCGGAATTCCATGAAATACGGAATCGGTGGGAATTGGACGGAATTCCAAGGAATTCCTACCAATTCCGGAATCGGTGGGAATTAGACGGAATTCCCGGGAATTCCTACCGATTCCGTCTCGGACACAATTTCGGAATTAGTTGGAGGAGTTCCGGAATTAGTTGGATGAATTCCGGAATTAGTTAAAGGAATTCCGGAATTAGTTGGAGAAATTCCGGAATTAGTTAAAGGCATTCCGGAATTAGTTGGAGCAATTCTGGAATTAGGTTTGAGGGATTCCGGAATTGGTGGAACTGATTCCGGGGGCGGAACTGGTGCCGGAATGTGCAACATTGCGGAATAGGATGACTGCTCTGATATTTAATGCATACTCGCTATAGAGCGACATCCAAGATTCTCTTAAATCAGGACCATGGTAGCTGGGGTGGGTGTGGCTGTGGCTGTGGCTGTGGGTGGGTATGGGTGTGGGTGTGGGTGTGGGTGTGGGTGTGGGTGTGGGTGTCACTTTGATTCTTATTTTAATACCGACATGCACACCCACACGCACATCTATCCATAAACTCACACCCACACCCGCACCCACACCCACCCACACCCATCCACCTCACCTCCACACCCATAGTTCTTTTTGAAATGACTGAAAAATATAGACAATAGGACAATTGTCCTAAAGAATTAACATATGCATGTAGGAAACGTAAACGACTTCTCCCATAAAGACTCCAAGAAAAATACGATCCTGATGATGGCTTGACCTAATTTCAGTTGAATTGCTCTATATTGATTTTCGAAAAAAAGATTTTGATACAAATTATCAAAATTTGCTCAAGAAAATTGAGTCTGGTGAAAATTCTGTCTGAACAATCTTTATATCATGCTTTTCATTTTCATTCAAATGAATATTGAAATAATAAATATCAGTTGAGGTATGGGATGTGTGTGAGATATGCGTTAGAATCCTTTCCTCCTACATCTCGCATCCACATCTGAGTGCCTTACAAAATCAAGCATAAAAGACAACTCATGAATTTTCAATTGCATCCTTTTGATTATCATTTTTATCTTTTTATATCTCTATTTAATAATTTATGACCTTAAAAGTATTTAAATTTTCTCAACTTCATGCAAATACATTGCATATTTTCACATAATATATTTGAATTTATTTAAGTAATGTAAAGCAAAGCTTCCTGGTTGAAAATAATTTTCTCTAGGATTATTGTCATGCAGAGAGGAAAATGAAGTTTTAATTATGAACATATTCTTCATGTAAAACATTTGATTGATAGACATCATTTGTATTCGGATAGTATTTTTCAGATACGATGATTTCTTCTGCACCTATGTCTATGTATTCACCATTTTCATCCACTATCAATTGAGATGCATTTAATTCATCATTTGTCTCGTAAATTATCGGTGGTTCACTATTAATATTCAAGTCAATAACTTTTGAATCATAATAATGGTTTTTTATTGATGAAAAATGTGTTGGTTCCATGTGAGTCATTTGTAGATGATCATTTCCCGTACTAACTATTGGGTCTATATCTATAACATATTCATTTGATGCTAGATTTGGATTACTGTGAGCATCATCAACATATGGATCTTTAATAATAGTTGTAACATGAGGAACATCATATGCATAAGCCGTATTTTCTGCTGCTAGTCTTTGCATTAATTGTTTAATTTGTTGGACTGTAATAGATTCTTCAGAAGATGTTTCATAGGAAGACCAATTTCCAATAGTTACATATTGAGAGTTTTGTGGCGCTAATTCTTGTTGTTCAACAATTGCAACAAGATGAGGTGGATATTCGTGAATGTCAATCAGTGGTGAATTTTCAGAAGAATGATTTTCATTATTAATCACAGAGTTTGATGAAGGTGGTGTAGAGGATTTTAAATATTCCATCGTTGTATCTTGTTCATGCGGGATTTGTGCAGGATGATCGTGTTGAATATGTTCTGAAGTTGAATCTTGTTGATCTAAAGGATACTTACTATAATCTAATGCACCCAATCGGCCAGCTAGTTCATCAACATCATTGTTTGATAATGAATTTTGATGAGTTTCTTTCCCATTAATTGATGTAGCATTACTAATATCAGAATCTGTTGAATGAATACTTTCATCAGTAAACGTTGATGACAATGTAGTATGTTCGACATTGTTTGTTGTCGAATGATCTGTAACTTCAGTTTTACTTACCGACATTTGATTTCTCTTTATTTACCTTGCTCTTTTGATTTTCTTCTCATCGTTTTTATATCACATAAAGATGAATCATTAAGAAATAACTATGAATAAACAAGAATCATTCAGGTGTGTCTGAATATTAACTTACAACTTACGTGAATATTTGTGTTGGCGAAATTTAATCATATGACTGTGTAAAAAGTAGCAATGATGAATAAGAAATACGGTAAATTATTTCAATGTAGTCAAACAACTTGTTTCGATAAGAAAGCTTTTTAAAACATAGTGAAATCAGGTACAGAAAAAGGAAAACTCGACTGGATTTTTTCTCGCTCATTTATATATGGTTTCATAGAACTTGCAAAGCTGATCATGAATATATAGTTTTTATTTCGAATAGACCATTATTTAGGTGGAGAAAATCTTAATAAACTTGAGCGACTGAAAAAGTCTTATGTTGTCGAAAAAATCACTTGTTCTAAAATTCAGTGCCCAATGATTTGGTCAATTTTCAATTAAATCTTAATTTTTTCTTGTAAATTAGCATATTTGGCTTCATATGGATTAAAATTCAGATAAAACTCAACAGATATAGCTCTTCGATTATCAGAAATTACCTAAGAGATGATTAGGAAAGTATTGTCTGATCCAAAATCTATTTTAATGTTTCTGTCTTGAAAGTTGGCTCATATTGGATAGTAATCATTTACCAAGAATTGTGGTACCGTGACTTTATCCATAAATTGCATCCTTATTTATGAACAGAAACAATCAAAATCGATATTGATGGCCAAGTAGGAATTTTTTTTATTTAAGAATTATAAGTGATATAAAATATGCCATTCATAGCTTAATATAATACCATCTTGTTTTGTTTGATAATGATTTATACAGGGTTGTGGCTCTCTGATTTTATGTGTGGATGTAG